TTGTAGACGTTGCACGGCGACGCACAGACGCGCCTTGAGCTGCAGCGTAGCCGGGAGGCCGGCGTGTCCGGCGACGGCGAGAGCGCGGTTGACCAATCGCAGGTCGAGGGCGCCGGCGTCGGCGAGGAGGCGCGCGAGCCAGCCGACCTCGCCGGCCAATTGGGTGGGCGGAGGGAGGTCGCGAGTGACGCGGATGAGCGGCAGTGCGTCGTCGAAGAGGACGATTGGCTGGCGCGCCAGCGTCGGCGTGGCCGACGTCGACGTGGGCGCGCGCACGTGGCAGACGAGGGCCAAGTAGACGCCGGTTTTCGTGTGCTTGGTGAACTTGACGCTGGCCGAGACGAACAGCGACCGGATGGACAACTTGCGCTGCCCCACCGGCGAGTGCACCCGCCTCGTCTGCACCAACCCCGCGTCGCCGTCACCCGCTCCACCCGCTCCACCCGCTTCCGACGTCGACTCGCCGTCGACCGGCTCACCAACGGCGACGCCAACGCCAGAAGGACCCGCCCAATTGGCCAACTCGTGCTCGAGATGGGCGCGCAGCTCGTCCAATTGGCTCGTCTGCGTTCGGCCCATGAAGCGGCGCGGCGGCGCCAGCGCCGGTAGCAAAGCCTGGTGCCAGGAGGAGGGGAGCAGGCCGATGGGGGTGGAGGAGACGGGCTCGGACCAGCCGGCGAAGGAGAAGGCGAACACACGCACAAACACCGCCTGTCCCGGCGCCAGTCCCTTCAACTCGTAGTAGCCCACCCGAAACGGCGCATTCCAGCACCAGCTCATTGGCTCTTCTGCCTCCTCCTCCTCCTCCTCCTCCTCTTCCTTCTCTTCTTCCTCTTCCTCCTCTTCCTCCGTTTCATCTACTTCCTCCTCCTCCTCTTCCTCGTACCCTTCCTCCTCTTCATCCTCCTCATCCTCCTCCTCCTCCTCCTCCTCCTTCTCCTCCTCGTCCTCTTCGCTGTCTTCCTTCTGTCGCCGTTCCAGCTCCAGTTGGTCGTCGTCGCGGCGCGACGAAACACGCTTCATCGTCTCGTCCAGACTCTGTCTGGTGGTGCGTGGCCGCGACTGGTCGGGCGAGTCGGCGAGGCCGGAGAAGACAAAGTCGACGCTGACGGGCGGCTCGACGATGAAGGCGTGTCGAGTGGCGGCGTCAAAGTCGGCTCGACACGAGCACTCGATGCGATAGCGCAACGGCAACAGCCGCGTCTCGACCAATCGCCGACGCCGCAACTGTCGACACCGTCTCGTCCGTGTCGACGTCGACTCTGTCGACGAAGAGCCGGTGTCCGCATGCCGGCCGCCCCCGCCGCCGCCGCCGCTGCCGCCGCCAACGGCGAATAGGCGAGGCGGCGCCACGCGAATCACCACCGACTGGGAGGACGTCGCATAGACGGAGACTCG